AATGCTGCTGTACAGTACTGTAACTTTACTGTATTTACCTAATACGAGCAATTTCGTTGCACCTTTTCAACATACTTTATGTGCTATAGTTCTAGAGCTAGTTACCCTATCGCACCGTTTATTACCACTCGAAATTGCAAAGTAGAAATCATTTCTGGGGAGAAATGGTGGCCCTGAAAAGGGCCGGTTGTTTTTCTTGCGCTGTATCGGGTTTACGCACGCTCTCCACGGATACGACGAGCGAGTTGGATATCCTTGGGCATGATCGTAACTCTCTTGGCATGGATGGCACACAGGTTGGTGTCTTCGAACAGACCAACTAGGTACGCCTCGCTTGCCTCCTGAAGAGCCATCACTGCAGAGCTCTGGAATCGCAGGTCAGTCTTGAAGTCCTGTGCGATCTCACGAACTAGGCGTTGGAAGGGTAGCTTGCGGATGAGCAGCTCTGTGCTCTTCTGGTAGCGGCGGATCTCTCTCAGCGCAACGGTTCCAGGCCTGTACCTATGAGGTTTCTTCACCCCTCCAGTGGCTGGGGCGCTCTTACGAGCTGCCTTTGTAGCCAGCTGCTTCCTTGGCGCCTTGCCTCCGGTAGACTTACGAGCGGTTTGCTTAGTACGAGCCATTACGATACTGCTTCGAAACAAAAAATTTGTGTGTTCAATGTTCGCCGTTTGTCTGTATTTATATCATGCTGGTGTAGAGGGATAGACTTCCAATTGGCTGACAGATTTTCTGCTTTAACCGGATTGGCTCACATCGCGTGGTGGATTTTCATGCTCCAATCAACACTTGAATACAAGCGGTTCGCGGATGGGAGATAGATGGCGGGAAACCGGTTCCCAATAATGTCACGTGAGACAAAGAGGTAAGAAAATTGGCGCGTAGTTGTGACATTTGGAACTGGTTGTTGACTTTATCCATAGATTGCCCAGGGATCAATGCTTTATCACAAAATAAGCAATGTACCCGCTAGCTTTGCTGATGTATAGCCCCGTCTCTCCAGACTCCCGCTACACCCGTAGAGCTATGCAGCATGCACCTAACCCGACCAGGTTGTGTGACTAACGTCAATATACACAATATTGATATATAATATACAACTGAATAAGGTCTCCTAGCTCCAAGAAACGGTATTGCTAGGGTTAGAATACTTATTGACGTTATATGACGTATAGATGTTATATGTTGGTGTATTGACGTTAGTCACACAGCCTGGTCGGGTTAAAGGTCTCCTAGCCCTAGCAAAGACCGTTTCTTGGAGCTATGCACTAATGCAGCACCGTACATGCATTCCGTAGCCATCCATCATTGAAGCGGAACTTGCAAACCGGGATGCTGCATATCAATCATAACGGATCGATGCTTGTTCTTATTCATTCCTGACCTTCCCGCGCCACGAAGAACTGAACTGGAAATGTTATATATGCATGCATATTGATATCAATATTCTAACTTTGAAGACTAATCATTTCCCTCGTGAAGTCCCGTAGTGATAATTAGTCTACACTAGTCTTACACAGGAGCGTACTGCTCAGTAGTACATGCATGCAGTTCCTAACAGTAGAAATGTAATAAATGGGTGGTTTTGTAAATGTGCGTTCGTATTATTTTCAGTTTTTACTGACTGTCCCAAGTTCCTGTGGATCGTGTGCTATACATAATATCAAGAGCTAATAATACTAATAGATATTATTAGCTCTTGATAATATATATATAATATATATGTCGAATTTCATGTAGATGCCAATGGGGAGTCACAAAACATGAAAACTAAAGCAGTTTTAGCTACGACTAGGCTTATCATAAATACACAAGAAGTATGCAAGCAGACTAGCTTATGAACTACGATGCGCTTATTTAGATCGCAAAATGTCATGATTCAATCAAGAGCTAATAATAAGGTATTATGATTCAATGATTCACGTATTGATTATGATTCGAGACTGATGTGATAAATGGAGCATGCGCATGTGGGCAGTACGGTCTGGTACATTAGTCATTAGAGTACGGGGGCAGTCCTATAGACCGAAGGTCCGATACACCGAATATTGCAAAGGGTTAGGGCATATATATGGTTTATAGTGGCATCATATGATTTATAGTGGTATCGGTGGATGTGCGGCATATTCACGTTCGAATACGGCTTCAGTGGTTGTCCGGATACGTAGCATGGAGGCTAGGCGACGGATTCCGGACGTGTAGCCACTGCGTATTCGAATAAACCTTCGGTCTATCGGGCCTTCGGTCTATAGGGCTGTAACCGCGAGTACAACCCGTACATGGCATGTACATGGAGCGTTTCAATAAAATATAATGCTAAATACGAAATCTATTTACTACTATTAGGTAAAAGTTTCTCTACTCTCTTTCACCTATTATTGCCGACAATTTCCTGTAAATGTCGTCCAAATGCTCATCTGCAACACACGCTGGC